ATCTTCTGTATGGAGAATTAGTGCAGGGAAAGCATCCCAGAGGGAGACCACAGCTGCGATACAAGGATATCTGCAAGCAGGATCTGAAGGCCTTAGGAATGGACCTCAACAGATGGGAAACCTTGATGTCCGAGCGTTCAGCCTGGAGGCAGGCGGTGCATCATGGCCTCTCCCAATTTGAAGAGACACTTGTCCAGCAGGCCGAGGTAAAGAGGCAGTGCCAAAACCAGCAAAATCAGGGAGCTGGACAGGGGACAGATTGGATTTGTCTTCAGTGTGGAAGGGATTGTCACTCTCGAATTGGCCTTCTCAGCCACACTAGATGCTGTTCCAAGTACTCCATACAGAGCATGTTACCATAGTCTCTCGAGACTGAAAGATGCCTAATTATTACCAGCCTGCAGTGCTGGTGGTGAAGGCTTTTGGAAGTTGCACTTCAGGTACACCTGGGTTACCCAAGGTTGGGAACAACTGCCATGAATTAGAATCAATTTGATGACACAGGACAATATCAGATGTCAGTAAGGTTAGAGATTTCAGCTTAACCTTGAATGGCAAAACAAAATGGATCTGTCTCCTATTTAACATGCTGCCCTTTCATCTATTCCCAGAAAGGTTAGGACCACATATAACAGAAAAACCACTGTTAATGAACGTTTATGGGTGGAGAAGGACCACAGAAGTGGGATAGTGGATGGAGAAGGACCACAGAAGTGGGATTATCTCCTACCCCCTGTCCTTTGTCATTCTCATGAGCCTGTTCAGACCAAGGGGAAGTGAAACCCATGTGGAGGATGTATCAGGGGTCTCCTACCAACTCTCCTCAGACTGAAGAAGCTACTTGGATGAGTAGCAAAATGTTGCAACTTAACAAGAAAGAAGTCCAGTTGCTATGACTCAACTTCCAGATTTACTACTTTTAGTTCTCTTCTAAATAGTATCTTTACTCCCAGAACATATCTTTAAAATGCACCTTAGGATAATTTGTATGGCAGGAAGGCATTTTTATATAAATTGTTTGTCACATATTTGTCTGTTGTCTTACTGAGACAGAATTGGGATAACTTTATCCTAAGATTTAAAGCAGATTATGTGGCATATAGTGGTAAAGAGGGTTTCAAAAGGTCAAAACAGCAGACCATCTTTATGTCAACTATAAAGCCATGCTGTTGATGTAATCTATGATGGTGTCATCTGCCTATTACTTCCTTTCTCAGTCTGAGATTAGTAGTTGTGAGTGAGCTGGTGAAATGCAAAGTATTGGATTTGGGTGGCTTGGTCTTGAAGGGACTATTGAAGGGACTATTAAATTACATTTTGTACAATATATTCACCAAAGAATTGATCCAAGTTGTGATGTGAATTGCTAGAACCAGCTTGTTATGGACCAACATAGCAGCCTGCATTTTTAGATTCTCCTTGGGTATGAGATTATCCAGATTGTCATGTTGGGTGCCTGCACTTCAGAAAATCAGCACTAAATTACAAATGACAACATGAAACTATTGTAGCCTTTAGAGACATATTCACATTTAAATACTGCCATCATTTGGAGAAATAGTGCAAGGCTTATGATGTGGCAGATGCTTATATAGATTTACACATTTTAATGTTTCTTCTTGTATGCAGAGTATTATTAACTTTGTAAAATGCACTTGCATTTATTACATGATAAACTTTTGCTTTCCTTTGTATACAGGATTGGCTGATGCAATTATAATCTCATTCAGTTACTCATAAAACAACAATCGCCACATGGTGGGGGACCAGATACAGTACAACTCCCTCCCACCATCCACTTAATGCAGACCTGGGCAAAGTGCGCCCCTCCAGATGTTGCTGAACTGCAAATCCCAACACTCCTCACTATTGGCTGTGTGGGCTAGGATTGCTGGGAGTTGCAGTTCAGCAACATCTGGAGGGCCACATTTTGCCCAGGTCTGACTTAATGTGATTAATAGTTTGATGGCTGATATGCATGGTTATTTTGAGCCACATGATCATTCCTGTTTAAAAGGGGGAATTATGAGAATGGGCCTCTCCATAGAGTGCCTGCCTGCAACATACGCTGATTTAGGTATTGTGGGACAGAAAGTGGCATGCATGAACTAATCCATCATGCAAAGATTCTCACTACTCAAGTAAGTGCCTGAACTGGTTTACTGCATTTCAAGAATATATAGGGCTTCTCTTCCCCAGTATGGTATGCTTTCAATGTTAAAGCCCTCATTTACAATAAAGAGGAAAAGAAAATGGAAAAATCATAATCAATACTAAATGGAATCTAGCACAGAAAAATGTTGATGATGGTGATGGTGAAGGGAAGATTTTTCAACAATACATACACCTTTAGGACAAGAACAAAGACATGAAAAAATACAAAGAAGTCCCCTGCTTCTCTCATCAATTTTCAGAACTGATCATTTCTACATTGTCTGTTTTCCCAAATGTCCCCCATCTGTTCTTCAGATTCCATTGTATATTCCAACTGTCATCTGATTTTCAACTTGAAAAAGGAAAAATTTGATGAAAGACATGTAAAACTTATCTTTATTAATTTGTTTTGTATATAGAAAAAAATGCATAGATAATGCTTATTCCTACAAAAAGAACACTTGTGCTGCAGTTCAGAAAATTATAGCTAGAACTACTTGAAGTAACTTTACTCTTCCTGGGGGCAGTATATTGGAATAGTTTCATCTTACTGTTTGTAAATCAATTAGGGATCATTTACTTTACTTGCATTTTGACATGATGACTTGTACCTCTATCACTTTTTAAAACTGTTTTATTTGTATCTGTTTCTATATATAATGAAATAAATGAAATGATGTTACAAAACAGATAGTCGTTCAGTATACATTTGCTTCGATATATGGAGTCTTCTCTTCGCTTGACTGATGAAGTCTAGTGTTGACTTCCATATTCTTTTCTATGTTCAATGTATGAACAAAACTATATTTGCTCATTGAAAGAAACAATCTCAGAACAGTGTATAAAGCTGGGAAGAGTACAGTTCCCCAACTCAGCTTCAGGGTCTGAATGAACAGTGAATGCTTGTGTCACATTGGTTAAGTCCTCAGGTTCAACCTTGAGAGGCAATATAATAACTGTCATAAGGTTGGTGTGAAGTAGGAATCTTTACACATTTTTCCCTAAAGAGTAACTTGATGTGTGTTGATATCCTTGTTGGCTTTGAATCACCATAGCCTTGCATTGGTTGTTGACAGAATACATGGAACAGGCACATTGAACAGCAAACACTAATTGGTTAATGGAGGAGGTTTGTTCTAAGAGTGGTGTAAGTAATAATTTATTTTTGGTGTCATAATTGGTGATTTTCAAGTGTTCAAAGCATTTTTCATACCTTATGTCCTTCTTTGCACCATAGACTGTTACTTTTCACTAAAATGATTCCATTTTTAGTGTATATGTATGTATGTGTGTGTATTCAAAGTTGTATAACAGCCCTGTATTTTTTTTCTTAGAAAGTTTATAGCTCAGGTAAGATTAAAACTGGGACCCTTCTAAATTCCATTTCCTTATCTTAGTCACTTTTTTAAAAAAAGGACATTTCCTCTGATATAAAAGGTGCCAGGAAATATCTCCAGTATATCAAATGACATTTCTTTTTCAAAACAATGTGACTGCAATCACTTTAGTTTGTGTCACACCATGTACTCATTAATTTCATGTTCACTTCACAGATCTTCTACCTACTGGCTGAACCGTATCCAGTCTTTTCTTTACTGCAATGAAAATGGCCTTTTGGGTAGCTTTTCAGAAGAGACTCACTCGTGTACGTGCCCTAACGACCAGGTTGCCTGCCTTGGTTCTTTACCGTGTATTGTTGGAGATGGTTCCGCCTGCTTAACTTGTGCACCTGATAACCGTACCCGATGCGGGACCTGTAACACTGGATACATGCTGAGCCAAGGGGTTTGCAAGCCTGAAGTGGCAGACTCAACAGAGAACTACATTGGGTTTGAGACCGATCTTCAGGATTTGGAGATGAAGTATTTGTTACAGAAAACAGACCGACGGATTGAGGTCCATGCAATTTTCATCAGCAATGACATGCGTCTCAATAGCTGGTTTGACCCTTCCTGGCGCAAAAGGATGCTTCTTACCCTGAAGAGCAACAAGTACAAATCTAGCCTGGTCCATATGATATTAGGTCTCTCTCTTCAAATTTGCCTAACAAAGAACAGCACCTTGGAGCCTGTCCTGGCTGTTTATGTCAATCCTTTTGGAGGCAGCCACTCTGAGAGTTGGTTTATGCCTGTCAATGAAAACAGTTTCCCAGACTGGGAGCGGACTAAACTGGACTTGCCACTTCAATGTTATAATTGGACGCTGACTCTCGGCAACAAGTGGAAGACATTTTTTGAAACAGTCCACATCTACTTGAGGAGTCGTATTAAGTCAAATGGTCCCAATGGCAACGAGAGCATCTACTATGAACCCCTGGAGTTTATTGATCCCTCACGGAACCTGGGCTACATGAAAATTAACAACATACAAGTGTTCGGCTACAGCATGCACTTTGACCCGGAAGCAATCCGGGACTTGATTATGCAGCTAGACTACCCCTATACTCAGGGATCCCAGGACTCAGCGCTTTTGCAGCTGCTAGAGATACGGGATCGTGTAAATAAACTCTCTCCACCTGGTCAACGTCGTCTTGATCTTTTCTCATGCCTGCTGCGTCATAGACTCAAGTTGTCTACCAGTGAGGTGGTGAGGATTCAGTCTGCTCTGCAGGCCTACAATGCCAAATTGCCAAACACAGTGGATTATGACACAACCAAATTATGTAGTTAACCATAAGTGTGAAGCACAACAGAAAAACAAACAAAACCATGAAGGAGTTTTTACAGTGCTTTTGTGGAACAGTTTATGTTTGGAAGAGTAAATTTAAATTGTCTTTTCAATATCTGTCTTATATCAGTCAATAACGTTGGATGGCAATTTACACCCCTGAACTTGCTGACAAATGAATATATTATACCTGCAGTTTTTTTTGGCTTTGTTTTATGAATGAAAATAAATACTGACACCCGTCTAGAAGACATTCTACTTTTTACAATAAATTTCATTTGTAATTTTATATGTTCCGTGGCAATGCTTTTGTGCATTACATCCTCTAGAGGGAACATAAAAGGATACCAATAAAATTTTGTAGCTGAACAGTTATTAAAAAGAAATGCTGTGGGATTCATTCTTTTCCCTGTCTCTAAAAATGAATAACATCTTTAAGATTGCATGTTTGACCAGATAGGGGTGGCAGAACAGAGACAGAAACATGGTTTGGATTCCAAAAAAGAGAGCAAAACTAGGAAACAACCTAAGATTCTCCTGTAACTCGAGTCATAAATTTCAGTGATGTTGTCATGCAAACTGACATTTCTTATGATAGCTTGCTTTTCTCTTCAACTAACAGCCTTGAACAGTGCCTTGCCGTTCTCAAGATGGCCTGCTATGTCAAGTGGCTGTATTTTCTATTTCAGGAGAGACAAAAAGGTTGTATTAATGCCATGAGGAATATAATATGAATATCTGTCATGGCTGTAGTCTAAGAGAATCCCAGGCATCCTGAAAAAAAGAAATTATTTCGAGAATGAACATCCAGTTCTGATCAAGCATGGAAAACATTCAAGGCTATAGCCATGAGGGAGAAGGTAGGTGTTCCACGCTTATCATTCTCAGTAAGAAAAGTCCCTTGATCGAAAAAGGGCCCATACTGTATGGAGAAGTGACAATTGGGCTCTGTTGTCCCCACCTGCTGCTCCCAATGCCAGTGTTTAAAATGGGGTTGTCTAGAGAGAGGAAGCCTTCATGGTTTCAGCTCAGATGACTATCTTTGCATGTGCAAAGTTATTTTGAGATCTGTGTACAACATGTGAGTGTCAGACGGTGATGGCATTAGGAGCCGAAGTTGGGCCTTGCTGTCCATGTGGAGATCAATTCACTGAAATAATATATGAAGGAGCTTGTGCATACAATATAACAGGAGACTGGACACTCTGAAAATTACATCAAAAAGAAAAAAAGCCATGTGGACCTTGAACACAATCTGAAGACAAGAATGGGTTAACATTAAAATCTCTCAAGTCAGTTTTCAAACTTGAAGAACCTTTTATCAGGCTGGCATTTCCAAGCTAGAGGTGATGCAGATGAATTTTTTTTCCCTGTATCATCCTCATTCAGCCTGATTGAAGGGCCCTGGAGGACTTGAAAGCTAATTTCTGTTTGTGAGATGCTAGTTAGTCATCTAATAAAGACATCACCTACCCTTATCTTCAAAAATACAAGCTATAGTGGACATGACAAAATACTTTCAATAATTTACTTAAGTGCATTCAACTTGTCAGATTCAGGAGCATTGATTTATTGGGCCATTGATCATTTTAGGGGGAGCTCTAGGTAACCTGACAAAATGGATCAATGTAGATAACCATCAGTCACATATTGCAGTCTTATAGACATGCAGCAGCAAGTTTTCCAAAAGGAAGCCATTTCAGTCTGCTTCATAATGTATGATGAAAACTGGGTGGCGGGGCAATGTTGCAGCACCTCTAACAAATGTAACATGACATTTTGTACATTTCTTTCATTTATTTGAGGTGCAATTATGTGCTGCAAAATGACTTCAACAGAAAAGTCCTATGGGTGACTGACTCTCCCTCCCCTTCCATTATTTTATTTATTTATTTATTAGATTTCTATCCCGCCCTTTTAGACAAAGTCTACTCCAGGTGGTTCCATCAAACATTATAAGCTAAAACAGTTAAAACAATTAAAAACAATTCTATCACCATCTTCCAAATGTTCCTCCTTCCATTACTTTTGATGGAAGGGGGAGGGGGAACTATGTCAGCTCTGTTTCATAAGCAGCATAATTTTTGCCCTGTTCTGGGCTAGTACCTGGGACAGTGAGTAACTCTGGATGTTGCAACAGATTTATAAATAGAATGGGGTGACCAAGACTTTGACCCAGGGCACCAAATTTTAGAAGGTGCAAAAAAATTTGTAGGTGGAAAGCATGTATACTGCTTCCAGACATTCCTTCCCAGGCAGATGGAAACAGAAAACAAGAAGGTGCTATGCAGATCCAGTACAATATCTATAGATCCAGGCACCGCCTTGTTTTTTCCATTCTTTGTTTTCATAAGCCAATCTCCTGTGGCTCGTTTTTAACTAATTGGGTAGCAAAGCCTTGGGCATGGAAACTGCTGTTTACAGCTCTATGCTGCACATACACAGCCTGTCTTACTGTATTCCTGGAAGGCTCCTTTTGTCATCTCCAACGCTGAGGCTCTGACAGCAAAAAAGGGCATTGAATGAGCCCTTTCACAGCTCCAGTTGAGTACGTGTAAGGCTGAATCTCCTTCTCTGAGGGTGGGCATCTCTCTCCATTCTAAGAGGAGATCTAAACAAATCTATGGCCCCAGGGACATCTACTCTGGAACCACAGAAATATGCCTTAAGTTGCCATATATAAGCAAGAAATAACAGTATTATCTTATACATCCTTATTCATTTCTAAATTTTACTGTGTGTAATAGGACTTACTCCCATGTAAATTGAGATACAGTTACAAATTAAGCAATATGTACTCCACATGTCTGTTGACAGAACATTAAAGGTTGGTTCCATAAAATAAGAATGTCGGTGTAACCCTCCCTCCCTCCCTCCCTCCCTCCCTCTCTTCCTTCCTTCCTTCCTTCCTTCCTTCCTTCCTTCCTTCCTTCCTTCCTTCCTTCCTTTTAAAATTATCCTTCAACCTAACAAAAGGGATGAAAACATGCCACAAATACAGTACTTAAGTGAAACATGTTACAGTATGAACTATAGGTGACAACTACTTAAGCATAAGTTGCAATATAAAATACAGGTGAGAAATATATATGACAGGAAATATGTATTGAAAAGCAATAACACCCATTAAGATACAACTATAAATGAGCAAAAATGCACATTTGAAATGGAATAGAATTGCCAAGAAGAAGGAATATCATTAACAAAAACAAAAACATGTGACATCCAAATGGATAAGTCTTAAACTTGAGAGAAATGGCATTCAGGAGTTAATAAGAAATAAGGAGAAAAAGTATCTGAAAATAACCAATAAGAGTCATTCCAATGCAAATACGTATAAAGGAGACATATTTTAAGACACAACATCAAAGATGGCATAACACCCAGAGACCTTTGGGTAGTGTGGGCGGCATATACATTAAATAAATCAATAAACACTGTTAGTATGTGTGAGAACCAGTGTAGTGTGGTAGATAAAGCAGACCAAGACTCAAGAGACCTTGGTTCAAATAGCTGCTTGGCCATGGAATTTCACTGGGGGAGTGGCAATGGGTGTTTCTTGGTGAATCTGGATATTTTTACAAAATGATGCAAGCACAAGCTGACATGAACGTATGCACAGAGAAATGAGAAATTCAACAGGACCTAAATTTCAAGAAACAGCTCAGAGATGATCCATAGAATCTTTTCCAGCTGTGCAGTTCTAAGATGGTGATGATGATTAAATGTTAACTTGCATGGGATCATATACTACACATAACTCAGTCTGCATGCACTTGTAGGCCTACTAGGGTAAATAAAGTGTTGTTGGTAATCAGCTGATCATATTCAGTAATGGATCACCTCTGTCCAAACAGTACAAGAAAATATGTCACGTAGGGTATTGTCACATGTGGTTGGTGAGCATCAGATAAGATAACCAAACAGAGAAACAAATTTGCCTTCTGAATTTATCCAAAACAAAGTCAGATGCAAAGTATCTACTCAGGAACCACTATATCTCTGTTTGAAAGGAAGCAATAAGCCAAATATATTCTACAAGAGGCATTTGATTGCAGTAGTTACTCATTTATGTACATGACTACAATTAGAAACATTAGTCACAATTACATACTATAATAGATAAATAACACTTTTTTCATGTGATTATTTAAATATAATGAAGGAAATAACAATTTTAAAAATTCCATGGTCTTCTGAACTCTTTCGATTTCACTCAGAATTGTTCAGGCCATTATTCTTGAGGAACAATGAAAATGTTCTGTTCGAGAAAAAAGTGAATGACAACCAGATGATATTCAACCAGATTCCAATCTTATCTTTGAGAAATACCACGATTTGACTAAAGATTTTTAACTTCCCTTAGTATATTTGCCATGGGAACTGCCAAATTCTCATTACATTTCATTGCAGACAAAACTACACCACCACACAATTCCTGGCTTGTTTCTTAGGGGTGAGTATTTTGTTTTTTAATATATCCCAAATCTATTTGCTATTCCTTTTTGTTCCCTCTAAGGAGTCGCTTTAACATGAAGCAAGCATATATTTTTGAAAATGAAAGACAGAAGTGATGGCTTTTTCCCTTGTCACATAGTGCTTCTTTCACACACAACACACACACACACACACACACACACACACACAGAGAGAGAGAGACAGACAGACAGACAGACAGAGAGAACCAGAAAGATCTATCAATGATAGAAAGCATGGACAGCAATATGCCCAGTCTGTTAAAATAAATTTCTGTGAGTAGCATGTGAGGTCACATTCATAAAATATTATATTATTTATTCAGTTAAAATATTAATAATCTGTTTTTCACTTGCAGAGTTACCTGAGGTAGTTAATTATATCAAATTTTACAACCATCCACTTTAATCCAAAGCATGGACAGCAATATGCCCAGTCTGTTAAAATAAATTTCTGTGAGTAGCATGTGAGGTCACATTCATAAAATATTATATTATTTATTCAGTTAAAATATTAATAATCTGTTTTTCACTTGCAGAGTTACCTGAGGTAGTTAATTATATCAAATTTTACAACCATCCACTTTAATCCATTTTATAGCTATTTTTGGAGAATTTAAAGGTGAATATATATGTGAGTAATTTGTGAGAATTTTTTTCCACTGATTAAAACAAACACAAAAACAAATTTACCTTATTCACAATTCTTAGAATGACTATGGAAAGGGATTCCATTTTCAGTCAGAAGTCTAAATGTCCAGGTTTGCAATGCTTTCCTTAAAAGCAAGAAACTAAAAAAAAATGACAATAGGCATATGTAGAACAGTTCATTAAAAAGCCCTGCATATTTTCTAAAATGCACACACACACAAGCACACATCCTTAGTCCAC